TAACACTTTATTTACTAGAAAAACTTTAGGTCCTACATTTTAGTCTTAGAAATAACTTAGTATTTATTTATTTATTTTTTTAAAAGCAAATGAATTTATGTCTTAACATTTTTTAGCGGAAAATAAATTTGGATTGATTAAAAATAAACAAAATTAATGACTGTGCTCTTTCGGTTCCTTTGATATTTGAAGGAGATGGTAATTTGCACACATCATTTAGTTCTACCGTACAAAAATCTTCGTTTTGAGGAAAATAGAATTTCATTCCTTTCTTTCTCATAAAAGCAACTAGCAGCTCGTGGTTTGCTTTTTCTTTAATTTGCCCCACGTAGTGTACAACAGTTTTCTTTGTACAGAATTTGACAATGATATATTCATCCACACACAGGTCTTCGTAGTCATGAACTGAGAAATTCTCGCTTTCGTTGGACGTGTCAACTTTGGAAAAAACTTGTTTGGTCACGCTAACTTTTTTTATTTTCTATTTTTTTGCAGTTCCAGAGCTTCTTTGTCAGGAGTTTCGGTAAGAATTTTGGATCTGCCCTTCTTCCTACCACGAGGTTTTTCACTTCTTGAGGAGCTTTTGGGAATGGTCTGATAGCCTCCACTGGGACTAATGGATGAAGAGCGACTTGCTGAACCTTTTGTATAGTTTGAGATGGCCGAGAACCGGACGATCCTTGTGCTTGCACTTGCGGTTCCACCCCTACCATACTTTGATTATCCATAGGCTTGTCTGTAACACTTGCTGCATCGAAGTCTTCATCTGAAAATGCATTTCTATTTAGATAACAAGTTCCTGTTGTTTTAAACCCAGCCAATATATTTTTTGGAGTGAACGAATTTTCAAAAGCTTTGCCGGCCAGTTCAGCAATATTATGAATTGTAATGGTCTTGCCAGGATGCGAAAGCATTCAATCGTTTTGGGCGACTTTATATTTTGCCTTAAATGGCCCCATTATAGACGTCCAAAGGCCGCGAGCGAAGCGTGCAGTGTGGTGGAAAAGTTACCATTATTATTCCATTTTCTTTTGCATAGATTATTGCCTCCAATGAGCAATGGCTTTCGTGATTGTCTAGAAGAAGTAAAACGGGGTTTTCTTTCGTGCACTTAGTGAACTTAACAAAATGCTGTAATGTTGGTACTTATAAAAAGAGATGCAGTCATCCAGCCGCTATTGGGATTGTTCACTAAGCCCAGACTACCTGGAGGAGCGCCAATCATAAAGCATTCATGAAATTTTGTCCGGGGGAAAATAAAAACTGGCGGTACAGTATTTCCTGACTGATAATTCCTACGATTGTCACAAGAGTTCCACGTTCTGCAGAAACAGCTTGTCCTACCTGTTTTACTCCTTTTTCGGCAATTACGTTTGGAGCCTGAACAGCAGTCAGAACACTACTTTCATCAAGATTAAGAATTCTATTTGGTGTAAAAGGGTGTTTCTGCAAAGCTCGGGTGTAGTTTTCGAAGAACTCATTCACGTTATTTTTACTAAAACTTGTTGCTCTTGAGATGCTCGTGTTTTCTGACTTGCGTAAAGATAGCTATGAACGTCTTTTCATAAATCCTTATACTCAGTCCAACCCGGCCATTGAGTTAGTTTCCTAATTAGGTGGCATCCTCCTACTCAAAGTAAAAAACAGTAATCTTAAATTAAAAATATAATGTTTCAACGAGGTTACAAAACAGTACCTTACTACATAATCGAAGACCAGGGTTCTTCTTAAAGTTTTATAGGTTAACCCATAGTTCATTCTGGAATAGTTTAAAATGTATGTTAAAAGCAGCTGTTCTTGTTCCTGATTAAATATTTGTCGGAAGGCATATTTGGATGAAAACGCGTCCCGAGGTTCTGGATTATCATGACCCACTTTTTTTAGTCGATAAAAAAGTGTATTGTGGGTAAGGCCATAGACATCAGTCCCCTTCTTACAGTTAGTTCACCATGTTGAACCAGAGTAACACCAGCCCTCATGTCCTCTTTATTAGGCTCTGTTTTTTTTCGTTTGTTCACACAATTTCTAACCATTTTTGAAATCTAGAACCAAAAAGAATTGTGACATACCTACAAACAAAAGGATTTTCTTATAGGGACAAGCATGTGTTGAGAACGCGGCAGATACACTGTAATTTAAGACCGTCGTGGGACTAACCAGGGGAGCAGTTGTTTATAGTTGTCTATTTCGAATCAGCAGCGAGAGAAATAAAAAAACTTTTACATTTTACAAAAAATTATTACTTGGGACACCTTTGAACAGCGTACCCCAAGTGGTAAAAATAAATAAAACCCTATTTTTTAATCGGAGTTGTTTTTATCTTTCCAAAAATACATAGATTCAATTTTTATAACTTGAACTTACCTTATAATACAAAAATAATTCGGAAATTCCACTTATTTTCACATATACAAAAAAAACTTGCACCAGTAAAGTTACAAAATTTATTTAAAAAAATTGCTGTGTTCACCAAACATAAGCAAACAATCGAATGACTGAAATGTCACTTCTTGTTAATCGATTACTTGCTTTGCAGGAATACCAACCTCATATTTTTTTGATAATTGGTAGGCAACCAACAATAATGGCCAATGTTCAAAAGTGCCCCCTTCTCCCCTACTAGATAAGCCACTGTCGTTCTACCGCAATGGATACTAGTGAAAAATACTAATACGTTAGCGATTATGTCTAAAGTCATAAAAACCTTACATTTTTATCAAGTGTGACTTTTTCTTATCTTCTTTTGACAGTTTGGCCTCCAACCACACTAGCGCCGCCTAGCGATAGCAAAATTTCACGTCGGTGCCATGATCACATTTCGTGTTTGCAATTTTCTTCTTTCATGACAGAAAGTATTGTACACATATCATTATAAAGAACTTGGAAGCATATCTATATCTAAACATAGCATTATATCTAGAATAGGGTATCTCGTGCACACCTTTCAACCTGAGTAAACATAATATATGAAAAGTGGAGCCCATTTAACAGATAAGCACATTATTGATATTACTTTTTACGCAGCGTGTGATTGAAAACTATCGTACACGAACAAATGAAAAACTAAATAATATTGACCTTGACATTGTCATGACAGGTGTGCTGATCCTGTACACAATAAAAAATATGATGGTTATTGGCATAAGACCAATATTTTTTTTTCGAGCAGGTCAGTATACAGGGTGTCCGCAAAGTTGGAGTTTTCCTTTACACGACGTGTAGATCTTGAAAACATAAGCATTTTTTCTTAGTACCATATACACCAATGTCTTAAGGGAACCGAGATAAAGGGCTCTGCAACATCAAAAATATCTGAATACCGTCCTGTAGCCGCGACATCACCGACTGGTACAAGGTCACTGGCTCAACCCGACGGTTACGGTCACGCGTGTAGAGGTAAATGAACTCGTATAATCGATTGCGTTTCAAAAAATAACAAGCACTAGAGACATGGCTAGAGAAGTGCAAGTATCAAAAACTAAAGTGTGGCAAACGCTGCGTGAAGAGGGGCTGTATCCGTTTCACGTTCAACGTGTACAAGCCCTTCAACCTGACCATTTTCCAGCAAGAGTGCGGTTTTGTGAGTGGTTGTTGCATCAACATGACAATAATCCGGACTTTTTGAAGTGCATATTGGTGAGAGACGAATCTATGTTCACGCGTAATGGGGCGAATAACTTTCGCAACACTCATGTTTGGTCAGTAGAAAATCCGCACGTTGTCCGTGGGGCACATTTTCAACAAACATTTTCGGTGAGTGTTTGGGCTGGCATGGTGAAGGGTATGCTCATTGGACCATTTATTCTCCCAAATTTGTCATATTTGTTACCTCTGTTCGTGGTCTGCACCACCGCCGGCGTCTGCGCGGTAGTGCATCAGCTGATTTCATTTTCTGTTGGAGCGGTATGATTTCGGGCAGAGACGTACTTAGCCCTTCTCGTCAACTAGAGAGTGAGTACTTTTTCCTTTATTTTTTTTACGTGGTCGCCCTCGTTTCACTACACATTACCTTTGTTATTTCAAGGGTAGTTGTTTTTGAAAAGGAAAACCCCAACTTTGCGGACACCCTGTATAAAAATTTCAAACAGTATTTTGAGCTTCTGCCACCCAAACTCACAAATCTGAAATGTAACCTACGAAGACCGAATACAAAACGACAGCAAGAGTTATGAATTTGCTGCAATCTGGTTTTTGTTATGGAGTCAAGACAATGATAAGATAGGATGAAACAGTAAAACAGCCTAGACATAACCAAACTCACTACTAATTTCTTTCGAGTCTTGCAATTGAGGATAGAACGATTGGAATACAGGAGCTTTCAATATATTGCTGACGTGGTGACGGAATTGATACATAAATACTATATTTTAGTAAAAATGTGACATTGAAAGATCCCAAGAGGATGGCTGGCCACATTAAATGAAATGGGAGGTCATGTGATACATCAGTTTGAAGCACTTTGTAAGTGCTTGTAACCGTGAAATATAAATTTATCTATCTTCTAAAATGGCGGACTTGCAGGCTGTCAAAGTTATTCGTAGTTAAGAAATTTCAAAATAGTCAGTCTTTTTAAATAGTATGTCATGTATTCTGCTACGTATTCGGATTTACAATCACTAAAATAGTCATAAGAGCTTTAAAATGATGTTTCACATGACGTTCCATTCCATTTAAAAAGGGTTTCTAAGATGCAACCTAGCCTCCACCTTAACATCTTTGTCACTCCTAAACTAAAATATAGTATTTATGCGACAATCCAATCATCAAGAATTTCAACTTGCTTCCTGATCCGTTCATAAACTAATTAGGAGGGACAGACTTTAAACAAGAATGCTGTATAAGGATGGCCTGTTTCCACGCTGAAAAAAAAAACAAAACAACAATTATTGAATATGTTTCATTCTGTATTGGAATAAACAAATAAGTGATATACTATGTCCGTTTTGTATAGAAAGAAAACTATAGTGCTGCAGAAATTGTGAGTCGAATTTCTTCCGACATCAATCACTAACAAAAACGAAAGCACACTTAGCCATTTCATAAGCTATCTCAGAATGCAGGAGCTCATAAAGTCTCGAATTACTATCTGGAAATTGCGCCCATTCATCGTAGTCGATGAACGGGATTGTTGGTGGTAACCTGCATTATGGAACATTTTTTTCTACTTTGCTCAGCTTGTGATAATGATTTGCATCAACCGACAATTTCTGCAGATTCGCAGAACACGGTGTAGCCAATAGTCTGTATCCAAGGCCGCCTTGAGCTATGTAGGAGCCCCTGGGGTCCTATTCAGCCGTTGTGAAAAATTGAAGAGCGTGGGGGTACTATCAAGCAGGGGCCCACGGTCCGGTAGGGCTATTATGTAAAAAACCCATAAAACGTCAAAAAAACAACAAAATGTCATCTTGCAGACTAGGTAGTTTTTGGGATGCAAATAGTTCATTCCACGTTTGCTCGCTATGATCGCTGTGAGCGTCCATCTCGGGAGGAATGACTCAACTACACGCATTCTTGGTTGCAGAAATCAAGTTTATGTTTTGTGTAGCCGAGTAGTCTGTAGTGTTTATCTCTGAGATGTGAAAGAAAGTTGGTTGAGTAGCAAGATCACATCTGGATGTGTATTGGTCTGCATGTGTATAAAATCAGTGATATTTGCTATGTGAGAAAATTATTACTGAATATGCTGCCCATGAAGTATATATATTAGCTGTGCTCGACGGGTTTTTTATATGTTGACCTTTCTGAAGACAGGTTATGTTTTAAGTTATAAATTACGTTTTTTACGTTTTTTTGAGTTTTCAAAAACTTTGAGGAGAATTACGGAAAATCACCACCGAGTCCGCGTTGTATGTAATTAATGTGAGCATGTACTAATCTGACAGTGTACAGTGTACTAATCTGACAGTGTACAGTGAATGTAATTATTTCTTATCACTCCCATTTTTGAAATTCAGCAAGTTTGCATATGTAATTTCCAGAATGGATGAGAAAAAGCGGATGCGCAACTAATTTCTAGCTTTGAATCTCAAGTAAGTGTATTTGAGACAAGAATCCAGTGGAATTATCAACACATATTATTAGCACACAAATCCTCATTATGCCATCTCTGAAGCAGATTTTACATCACATCAAAACCAGGCATAGCTGAAGCCTCATGAAGTTTAGGCAACTCACACAACTACAAAACGAGTTCACAACGTGTCCAACAGCTAGTGCTAAGTTAACATCTTGTAGAAAAATCTAAATAATATTACAATAAACCAATACAATGTAAAAAAAAATCGACATAATGTCACTTTTCAAGATACGTTACTAGTGCGGATACTAAAGCTGGTGTTCAGGTATCTGTCCGGATAATAAATTGTAGCTGGATAGGCCGCATACCGGACAGTAACCGGAAATCCGTTGGAACCCTTATTATTATGTTCTCGTTTAGTATTGAGATACATCTACTGCTTAAACATTGATTTTCTTTATCCAATTATTTAAAATTAGGCGGTATCCCCTCCTTTCCATAACAATGTAAAAAAACCTGAGGTAATCGATCAATCGTCCAATTCTAACGTGCTGTGCCAAGAGAATGAAGAAGGCAGGCAAGGCCGCGAGCGATGAAAACACAAACGTCAAACGGATGAGACGGAACGTTAGTAAAAATAAAGCTCATGTGCTGCTGTTGTATTAAAAATAGAAGGAAACGCAAAGGCCTGCTTGACTGCCGGTCACTATTTTAACGAGCCACTTTCGCATTTTCAACGGCTTATTAATGTTTGCGCGGTTTTGTTGAGGAATGAAAATAAGTACCAACTTACACTTTGTTCCAAATTTTCGAGACGAAGTATAAAACTAAACATCGTATTGTTTGTTTTTGATGTTGGTCCGCTTCCGTTTTTAATTCCACGTAAAACCTGACAGAGACAAAATTATGATCAGATGTCCCAGCTGGCCTACGACTGGCTTCGGGTGTCAAGTGTGCACTTGCTTTACTTCCTTCGTGTACTGCGGCATTATACTCATACGCTTCCAACCCCAGTAATTTTAGGCACCCATCAGTTCATATTTCATACATCAAAGATTTCCCCGTACATTTGCCTTTATAACAGGAGAATATTTATAGACGAGGCAGGCGGTCGGTCGGGAGTATGCGATGAACCGCGACTTCTATAAGACGTACCCTGCCTAGAGTTTGACAGCATCGCCGGCAGGTACGTTTTGAGGCTGGCGCTTATGAGGTATATGATTGGTGTGGTCCAGCATCTTGCCGGATGGTCGATACTAAGGGCAGGAAGGAAACTAGCGTTAGCGTCATCAATTGGACGGTGACTATGTATTATTTTTTAATTGCGGGGAGGCAAGTTCGTAAGCACGTCAGCGGGCCAATTTAGGTCTATTTAATATCATTAACACGCAAAAAGAAGGTGGTAGACAAGGACTAGTTGACCGAGGCGGTACCACTTGATAGCTTTTCCCAGGATGTGTTATAAATGTCCGCATGTTTTCATAGCTAAGCTATGCAGTCGGTTATCTTCCCCCATAAAGACGGGGGAACGGGGGAGTTGTGGCTTTTGTTCGCAGCAGTCTTTCCTGCTCCAGATATGTTTCCTTGGAATCAGACCGGAAGGACATTCTGTGACTCCGCCTCAACTCCAAAACATCCTCCAAATGTATTTGCTGTCATTGCTCTCCCTTGGACCATAATTGTGATGACCTACTTGAATACCTCGCCGTCAAGATTGAATTCCTAAACATCAATCACCACGCTTCAGAGGTAGTTCTCCTCGGTGATTTCAATACCCTTAATGAACTTTGGCTGGGCTCAAACAAGACCGATGCAGCAGGTCGTGTAAGGGCTGACCCAGCTTTTTTCCCCCGCATCTCGTTACATGCCAGAAGCCTGCTGGATCTCTTTCTGACCATGCATCCTGTCCCTTATAGCACTGCTGTCCTGTCTCCCCTGGGTAACTCAGACCACGGTGAGGTGGAGGTTATGTTTCGGTCAGAAGGCAGAAACTCGCACAGGTTCGCAAAATTTGGCATTAGAGACATGCCGACTGGGAGGGGCTCAAAGACTTCTTCTCTTCTTTTCTTTGGAGGGATGTCTGTTTCACTGACGCGGATGCGTCGGCTGTCTGTTCTTCGATAACCGAAATTATCCACGACGGAATGGAGGAATACATCCCTCATACAGTGAAAGTGCCTAAACCAGGGTCCAACGACTGGTTTAACAGATCATGCGAGTCTTAGAAAACCCCACTGTAGAGAACAGACAAGCTGACGTCGAGTCCAGAAACAAATATAACGAAGTGGTTCGCAATGCCGAAAACCAGCACGATATTAAAGTTAGGCACAGGGTAATGTCGCAGCGCAATGGCAGTCGGTCTTTCTGGACGCTGGCCGAACAGATTGAAAAGAACTTCTCACACCACTCATGTGTCAGAATAGAACGGTTCTATCCGACTCAAAATAAAAGTCGGAAGTGTTTGCCAAGTTATTTGCTACCAACTGCACCATGGACGTTCCCCCCCAACGCCCAAATGCCGTCAATTCAAAGGGTTCCCTACACTATGCCCTTACACTATGCGTGAGGTAATATTCAGGCATAAGACCGTAAGACGGGTGCTCTTGTCGCTCGACATCAACAAAGCTTCTGGTCTGGACTCGATTCCTGCCGTTGTATTGAAGATGCGTGCAGCGGAGCTTGCTCCAGTTCTTCTGCGTCTCTTCCAGATATTTCACGAATCCGGAACCTTCCCAGAAAACTGGAAATTTGCTCATGTTGTCCAACCCATCTCAAAAAAGGATCTAAGATCGACACTAACAACTACAGGCCTATAGCTCCGCTTTCTGTTATAAGTAAGATGATGGAGGGGTGCATAAATCGCGAGCTTCTGGACTACCTCGAACGTCACGGCTTGATTAGCGACAGGCACTATGGTTCCCAGCACCAGCGATCCACAGGGGACCTCCTAGCTTTCGTTACGCAACTATGGAGTAAACTCATCCAGACTTATGGTGAGGCTCATGTCGTTGCTCTTGACATCACGAAAGCGTTCGATCAGCTGTGGCACGCTGCCCTCTTAAGCAAACTTCCATCCTGCGGCCTCCCAGAAAAGCTTTGCAGATGGGTGGCTGACTTTATATCCGGCCGCAAAATATCCGTCGTAATTGACGGGTTCTCCTCTTCATCCCACAACGTTAACGCGGGTGTCCTCCAGGGATCGGTCTTGGCTCCGACACTGTTCCTCTTACATATCAACGACCTCCTTTCCTGCACGATCAACCGAATCCACAGCTTCGCTGACGACAACACTGAACATGCAGGAATTCAGAGTTACAAGTCGATCTCTGCCGCTGAGCTGGAAAAAGATGACTAGCGACGACTTCCTATCCTCCTATCCATCCTAACCGATACGTCCGCTCCTTTGTCCCGAGGGTGTCGATATTGTGAAACGATCTATAAGAGAAAGCTTTTCCCAGTTCTACTAACCTTAAAAAAAGCCCGCGTCAATACCTTTTTATAATAATAGAAGCAAGATTTGCAACTTCGCTTTACTCCAAATTTAATCTTCTAGATCAAATCACAATGCCAAAACGTTAGCTGATAACATCAAAGTGTTTCATCATTGTTTCACAATCTACAAGGGGAAGCTCTTCCCAGTTCTACTAACCTAAAAGAAAAAAATCCCGCGTTTGATAATAGAAGCAAGATTTGCAACTTCACTACTCCAAAGTTAATCTTCTAGACCAAATTACAATGTCAAAACGTTAGCTGATAACAACAAAGTGTTTCATCATTTTTTATCATTCTTTCTATTAACTAAACCTTAGAGGCTTACTTACCGTCAAAAGTTAACCGAGAGGAAAACTTCTATCGATGGTCCAGACAGACAACACCTTAGCAATACAAAACCTCCAATAACCCTCAACTCAAAACTTCCTGACCCTAATTGACAATGTTATGTTGAACCCTTCAGCACGTCTACCTCCTTGGTGTTTGACATTCACCGTTTTTTCTGTTCTTATCTCGCCCATACCTCATCCAGTATGTGCACAAAGAGGCCTTAGACAGGCAACACCTTTTCCTGGAGAAACTTTTTATGAATCAAGAAAAGAGAATGAATTGCAGGTACATCCAGTTTGTT